GCTAGGATCTGGAACCAACTTCCAAGCGAAGTGGTGCTGGCTCCTACCCTGGGGTCTTTAAGAGGAGGCTAGATGTACACCTTGCTGGGGTCGTTTGACCCCAGTACTCTTTCCTGCCATGGCAGGGGGTTGGACTTGATGATCTGCTCAGGTCCCTTCCGACCCTACCAACTATGAAACTATCTATCAACTCTGCAGTCTGTTCTAATCTTTGCTAAGCCAACTGGCTGGGTTTGTATATGTGGACAGCATCCTAAGGGATCAACCATTTTAATTTCATTGGTGAGACCTTGCCTGAGGGCCAGTAAGAACAGGTGTACCAATGCTATGCATTGCTTAGTAAGAAAGCAGGTGTAGACTGGTAATACTTTGTTTGAATCCAATTTATCCCAAACTGCATAGAATGGGAGAAATGGTTCAAAGAACATGTCTCTGAGTTGCCAGTGGTATGTTCTAATGTTCTTAGACCAGTTTGCCCCCACCCTGGGTGATCTTCATATGCTTGAATTCAGTGGTATCTGGAACCAAGTATATCCTGAGTTCAGATTCATTTCTGAATCATGGTTAAAATCCTTGTATAGTCGGTGTCTAGGTGGGTCTGCACTTATGCAGTAAATCACCCCATTAGCTAGGAATCATCCAATATGGCACCAATCTGGAAAGCATTTGAGCACATGCCTAACTAAACATGCTTAACTGAATTAAGACTTCAGGGGGTGGGAGGGTGTATTTTTTATAATATTTAGAATTTTTTTTTTTAAGAAATACTATTTGGGATAGCCCTTTCTAGCTTTCATACACATCAAGGATCTACACAAGAACAACAGTGCTATTTTTAACCTTACAGCATATCTTCTGCACTTGTCAGAACACGCATAGTTTTCATAGCCAAGTCCAGAGAAGCATTTTAATTATATATACAAAGTGCTCAGCATCCATTGGCTTCAGTGTGAAGAGGCACTCTTCACACCCTCCAGGAACAAATCCTGTGGGGGTCTCTAATCGTGTCAAGTAGATAATATTGTAAGAGATATCTGAAAGCCACTATACTGCATATGAAAACTAGATCACCTAGGACAATAACCAAATGTCTGAGAAAGTTGTGAGACTTACTAGTCAGGCAGGCTACCAGAGTATATGATTAAATAATGGCCACTTTCCTAATGGTAATAATGACTAATTGTCTGGAGCAAGGGCAGATACTCAAAAAATCAGAAAGAGCTAAAGTAGACCACCAATGAAAAAAGTTACACATGGATAATAAAGCAAATTCATCCCATTTAGCCAAACAAAGTCTCTTCTAAGATCATCCACTGATATCAATAACATTCTTTTTCAATCTGATTCAGCCAGACACTTAAATAACTGAAACTGAACCTGTGAGTTGTCCAGCTACCTTTAACAGAAGTATTAACAAGGTCAAAAGTAGGTGCACACTTAAAAAAACTCAGTGAATTGAGGCCAAACTAATTTAATGTTAATTATAAAAGTATTTATGGTAAACCTTGCATGTCAGTGTCACAGGGTAGTTGTATGTTATAAAGAGAAGAAAGTGCTAGTGCATTTAGAACTAAAAGGGAGTTATCAAATCTAGTACCAAAGCAAACTACTTGTATCTGGTTTTTTTTAAATAATATTGAAAAATAAATAAATTCTGAAATTATTAGAAAAAAAGAGGGGAAAAGTAGCCTGTACTGGTAAACTATTTGTAGCATTAAACCTATGAAAACAAAATCATTTTGTTTAGATAATATTCAAAGAATAATATGATCTGCTTGTCCTCTCTGGGGTGGTACTATTTCTTTCCATGTTTGCGTTCTTTATTACTTGTGCTGCTATTGCTGTGTAGGATTTTAGCCATTATCATTCCTGAAGTGAAACATTGAAAGAACAACAAAAAGAAAAAGCAGCAATTCTGCTTTAATGGAGTTGTCATTCACTTCTGTTGCTTGCTTTGGAAATGGCATAATAGAAGCAGGAACAATATTTGACCCCACATTTTGCATTTAAGTAGTAGAGCTCAGAAGCCCTAAACACAGAAACAAATTCAATGGGGCTGTAAGGATGCTAGCAGCAGCACACAGTGCACATTCCAAGAGTCAGGCAATATTGTTCCTGCACATTTCTATCGCATCTTTTAATAAAACATGTGCGCTTCAAGAATGGACACATCGTGTTGTCAGTCTGGAAACATAAGCATTTTAAAACGGAAAATAAATATTCACTTTTACCCACGAACACCAAAACAGTTGCACACACGAACTGCAGGAGAGACTGGGACCTTGCAGCCGAAGTGATATCAAAAGATCCTTCTTTGACAGGGTGTTATGCTCTGACACAGCTCCTCTCCGAGGAGAGGGTGCTCGGATACACACTCCAAATGAAAAAAGACTGCAATGTTTGTGCCTGCAAAAGGAGATGTGCTAATGCGACGTTTCTGATCGGGTCGTTCACTCCCTACGCACATAAATGTTCTGTTTATGAACATTTAAGGAGAGTCCTGGGTACTTACAGTTAAATTGCTGACCAAGTGCTCATCAGGCACTGCCGAGTCCAGGGAGAGCCCCCTTCTTGCCCAGTATTTACTGGAGAACATCATCATCGCGGGCTGCATGCCGGGCCGTGCACTGGCCTTCCTCGGCTGCAGGGGACCGGCGGCGACGCGGCCTGCCCGGGGCGCTGTCCACGGCGCGAGTGCTGAAGACAGAGCCCTGCCGGCTCGTCCCCTCTCGGGGCTCCTTTTATACGCGTGCCTGGAGACAGATGAAAGGCTGATTAGGGGACACTCGTTTCTGCCTCACCATGGCCATGGGCCGATTGAAGCCCTGCATGCGCAGGTCATCTCTGTCGGGAGTTGTTTCAGTGGAAACGAAAAGGGGGGGGGGGGGGGGGGGGGGGAGAAAGACAGACAAATCAGCCACCCCAGGAAGAGTCAGCCCCTGGATTGCAGCAGAGGAGAGAGCTCGCCCTGAGCCCGCTGCCCACGGAAGGAAGCAGCCTGAGACAAAGAGCTGGGTTTTCAGATTTAGTTGGGGAATACTTTCGGGGGAGGGCGGAGAGGAGGTCTCCCCCGAGGGACAAAAAAGGGCTAGTGCAAGCTCCAGCCTTAAGAGAGAAACGAGCCTAGACTTACTCCAGGGCCTTATATCTCAGATTAAATGCTCGGCTTTTTATGGTAAAGCCTCGACCTTTAGAGCTGGTGGGGTTACTAGGCTGTGTTGTTTCCCATGTGATATAGGGACATCCAGACGGGAGCTGTGTGCCTTGTAACTTTGCTCTTTCTAAAGAGACCCCTGCTTCTACTTGACAGGCTGCCTGAGAGCAAGATGCTCACAGGCTGCCTGTCAAGTAGAGGCAAGCATCTCTTCACTCTTTCCAAAGTTGATAGTGCAAAGCAAGATGCTCACAGGCAGCACTTCCCCCATACTCTTTCTGCTTGTGTTCTTTGCACTTCACAGACACACCCACAAAACACTACTTTTTCCCATTCTCCGAGTTATGCCAGTATCTATCATGCCAAAACACATCACGTTTGTTTGGAACCAAAGTGAAAAGAAACTGGACCATTAGCTATTCAGTCTGATGGTTCATCTTGCATTCAGAGTGCTAGGGAGGATCTTTAAAAGAAAACAGCAACACACCTGAATTTGGGAAAGGATTTCCTACGCTCATCATTTATTTTGTTTTCCCCTCTGTTCATGCCAGCATTGGCATTTCTTCATTACCTGCAGACAAAAGGGGTAGTCATCTTATTTCCTATTCACAATAGACAGACAGACACAGGTACTGGAGGGTCTGACATAACTTTCCCAGTTCTAACATCCAAGATAATATATTATCTTATAACTCATTCTATTTCTTTATAATCTGAAGAGATATCTATATCTATATCTTTATATATCAAAAAGGAAATGAGATGATTTATAAGCTTATCTAATAATAAACATGAAGGTTAGGGCTCGGAAAGCTGTCAGACCCTTCTGAGAGAGAGAGAGAGAGGGAGAGCGAGCGTGAGTGAGATCTGTCAGACAGTTCAATACTGGTACATTCTACAGACAATGCACAGCTATTCATTCCAATTAATTAATGTTAGGGAGCTTTCACACAACCACACCAAAAGCTCATCCTGACAGCCTCTCAACATCTATAAAGGTATTTTCAAAATCCCTGGGCTGTTCCTTGTAGAACTTAAAAGATCCTTGGATGCAGCCCATCCATACAATGATGTCAGTCTTACTCTCTACAGCTACAGTGTTTACTACTAGAGATCCTTCAAGATCCATAGGCCTGGAATAGGGAGGTAAAAAGGTTTTATAAACACTGGATATATTCAAAGTTTATGAGATCATCCTAAGGCACTTATAAGCTATTGAGCCAAATTGCCTCAGTAGCTGTTTAACTAGGACTTTGCTGAGAGTTAGATACATATCTCCTAAGGAGCAATTCAAGTTGGTGGTAGTGGTGTCAGCACTCTAAAAACTCATTAAACATTTCCATTTGGGACAGCAGGAGATTTTATGTACACCTGTGCTGACCTGACGTGAAGCATATGTTTCAGCAGATAACTGTCCCCAAGCTCTGAAGCGGCTCAAGTTGGCCAGAGGAGATGACTAAGTTTTGATCAACTCCCTGGAGACAGTGACAAGGGTAAGTGAAGAAAAATCACAATTAACCCACACATACAGGACAAAAGTCATCTCAAAACGGTGTCCACTAATAGCATAAAGGTTACAGCATTCACTGGAAGAGTTGAATGCTCTGCCTT